ACTCCCATAAAGCAGCATTCTCCTGGTATCTGAGAAAACATATTTTAGACATCAATAGAACAAGCTAAATTCTGAGACACATTTTTACACAGAATGCTATTTGTTAGGTCTGTCTGTGCACAGCAAGTTTCTGGTAACTTTTATAATTGTGTCCCACTATGAAACGGCCATGGTCTTATCATGAAAACACAGAATTGAAAGTCTGCTTCTCTGGATTCTTGTCTTAAGTCTGCCACAGTTGTGTGAATGTGTTGTAATCACTCAGTGTCTTTTGTCTTTATTTTTAAAAAGGGGAATAGAACAGTGGGAAGCCCTTCTGTGTGGTAGCCACCGCACAAATCAACAAGGAATGAAACCTGTCCTCAAATGCTTATTGGTGGCAGGAGAAACTGATTGGACAGAAGGATGGCAAAAAAAATCCTGCCCCAGTGTACACTGATAGGCTCTGAGATGGATACAGGAAGCCTTTTGTGCCCCTTCGGGATGTTGGCTCTGGGTTGAGGGGGAACAAGCCCAAGGAGACATCTGATACACCTAAGAATTAGCTAGAGCTCCAGGGGAAGGAAATGCTCCCTGTCCATGAGTAAGAGATATTGCAGCAGCTTGCCAGCAATTAAGTGGCCCATTCCTGATAAAGCTATGTTATTGTTACTAAAAGCTGTCATACAGTGGGTGCCTTCTTGTCTCCCTATGGTGAGGCACAGGGGTTTGAAGCTCATAACTAACACAGGTAAACCTTGTCAATTGAATGAGGACTATTAATATTATAATTGGTTGGGAAGCTTCAGAAAAGTGTGTGTAAAATAATGTATTGCTTTCTGTCTGGCTTTTGTGCAATATGTATTATAATAGAAAGGTAGATGATCTGAGCTATATTCCCAGTTCTATCCAGAAAGTACCTGATGGCCATCAGGTCCTTACTGGTAATTCTCTATGCACAATTTCCTGATCTGTTAAATGGGAATAATTCCTATCTCAGAGGGAGTTCTGAGACAAATTCTTTTTATGGTGATGCTTTGAGTTCATCAAATGAAAGCCGCTATAAAAGTGTAGAGTATACATATTACATTACTATTCACAGCAGTAGCTTCAATCAAAAATTAAAAATTCCCTTTTAGATAGCACTTTTATAACCATTGATAATTAAAATTTCTATGCACATTTGTTAGGAAATGCATATGTGCAAGAAGGAGGAATTAAGTGGATAGTCAGAGCTTTATTAAAGAAATTCCTGCTGTTTTCTTCAATTAAAACCTGTTAATTCTTTACTTGCAAACATTTAAAGTACCATTTTCTGTTTAACAGATCTAGATCAGTGATGATAAACATCAAAAAGCAATGAATGCAAGTCCTACTACAAAAGCAAACCTTTCTGAATGGATAAAGTGCATTCACAAGCTCATTTATGCTCAGCAGCTTGTAATTGATAACACTGTTAGATATAACCTGTGAAGTGTATTAATGCCCTTGGTTTTGGAGGGAACAAGTTTGAGTTCTGAGTTGAGTGGTCCTTGTTAAATTTTCACCTACTCCTATTTTCTTTTAGTTGTTCCCCATATAAAACAACTAGGTGTGAACACAAATTAGTTGCCAGTAGATATGGAAATTTGTTACCTGTAGCATCTGAATTGTGTGGTCATTCTCGTCTTTGCAAAGAGGCAAGTCAGCTCTCAAGACTAAGAGGGCTAAGTGAAGGCCCTTATCTCTGAAGTGTTGATCCAAAGCTGTTTTTATGGTTTGCACCACCTGTTCTTTGCTCAGGCTGCTATGAGAATATCCTGGCGTGTCGAGTACATGAACCCGAAGAGAGAGTTCACAGCCATTTCGCCGCATGATGCCTGTGATGCGACAGCTGCGTCCAAAACTGCAAGATGTAGTCAACGAGCTGGGGGACAGGTGGCTGTCAAAGTCTGAACTCCCCAGAAGGCTATTCCCAAGAGCACTTTTACCACTCTGGGTCCTTCCCAGCAAGAGCAGGTTGATGGTGATATCATTATCATCAAGCATTGTAAGTGCCTTTGTCCTTAAGTGCGCGTCTGTCAATGCAGAACAAGTTCTATTAATATTTGTTTTCAGATAGTTATAATACTTGTGTAAGTCAGTAGTAAACTGCAAGAATTACAACCTATATCAGTAACCACACTTGGATCACAAAGACGGTTTCCTCTGCCTTTGTTTGATTCTAAACAGCATGCTTCTTTATTCCTGCTGCCCTAGAAAAGGAGACCTAAGCATGGTACTAGAGCAGACCTAGCAGGTCTCCCATATTGAAAAAGATGGAAAAAACAGGTGGGAGTAAAGAGCTCATAAAAAGATAAGAGCAAGTAAGGAAGGAAGGTGACCAACCAATATTTGAATAGGGAAAATTACAAAGGCAGGGGGCTGGTTGCCAAAGAAGACATCAAGAAAGGCAGGAAAGATAGAATGGAGATAAATATGTTCTATAGCTTTCAAGTGCCCCTATTTTGTTAGTTAAGACTGAATTTGGCCCTAGAAATGTGATGGTGTGGG